GGAAGGCAGTGAAGTGCATTTATCTACTCAATATAGTCTTGTTGAATAATTACTATATGCAAGGCAGTGCCATATGTGCTATGAAAAACCTAAGGGAGGGTGAAACACCACCTCTGCCTCATGGAATTTGCAATGCATTGTGTTTTGTCATGTATAATGCACATTTTTTGCCCACATTTTTGAGGAAAAAATAAGGGTGCACATTATACATGAGTAGTACTAATTCCATATCTATATAAATGTTTTTAATTTTTAATTTATGCTTATGCATTAAAAGTGTAACTCTAGAAAGCAATAATGATAGCTGTATGCAAAACAATAGCCTGGAATACAATCATCAGTTTTGTTTCTAAATATAAATAAATAAAAAATTGAGTCAAAAAATTGAAATGAAAGATTTTTTCCCTAAAGTTTGGGCCAAAAACATGGGTGCATGTTATACGTGGCAAATATTGTAGTACTGGAAATGAACACAAATAACTAGAACACAGAACAATTTGGCAATGATACAAAAATGAATTATGTGTCAATGGATAGCCAAAGAAAGGGGAGCAAAATTCTCACTGGAAAAATCAAAAAGAGTATTTTAAAAATTTAGGGAGGCCTTGAAGGAAGAGCAAGATTCCAACAGGGCAGGTGGGAAGGTTAAGTTACTAAAAGTAGAAGAAAAAGAACATTGGAAATCAACTTTAGTTCATTATGAGGAGACTTTTGCTTGAGTTATTTTATTTTTGATGTAGGAAAATGCCTCGATGAGATGATGGCACAGTCTCATAGCCCCTGTTCTCTTGCTTTTAATTTTAGCCCTTCTTCCCCCCCACCATAAATTGTGCAGGGAGAAATAAGGTGTTTGAGACCAGTCAGCAAATGATTCAGAGATTTCCTGCTGGATACAATTTGATCAATAAAATACATGGAGGTCATTATTATAAAATTATTTTCATTTTATCTATAATTATCATTATACAGGTAAATATAGACTAAGAGATAATCTTTTAGAAAACAATGATCTTTTAAAAAAAAGCAGAAAAAATTGTTACTGGGTTTTGAAATCTGAGTGAGAAACTAGCCCTTAAGTTTTAATAATATGGAAATTAGAACTATAAGAAGAGCAAATAAAATAATCTAAAATTCTCTGCTCTTAACTTTCGGGGCTTTATGTATCCTTTAGGCTAGTATATGATTACAAGGGTAATACACCTTCCAGGAAAAAACAAAAACTCATAGACACATATTCATAAAATTTGGCATGACACTTCAGAGTCTTCTTGACCTTATGAAGCCCATCCATGGCCATTCTAGGCATCCATGGTCCTGAGGTCATAAAACTGGAGAGAAAACAACCGAATGCATTGCTTCGAAGACCTAGGAGGCGCCAAAAGCACCTAAAATCCCATGAGGGGCAGCATAGAAGTTGAAATCCCTGCACTCTATAAATCCCTGGATTCATTTTAATAGAAATGTAGTAAAAAACACTTAGTTTTCATTTCCACTAAAGCTTTAAGAGATTAAATTACTTGTATTTGATAGAAAAAATTGCTATATCTTTTCAAAACAAGAGGATAGAAAAATAGATTCCTGAGCTAAAATGGAAAAGACTCTAGGAATTCCTCCCAAGCTGTTCAAACTCACACTAGTAGGTAGAAATTAGCATCTGAGCTTCATTTTAGTGTTTTTAAATAGTAGAATATTAGGCTATATTAAGTCCCCTGTATGTTCTAAAATTCCATAATTTAAATTAATTCATTTAAATCTAAAAGAAAACAAAACTAATAACTTCTAAAAATGAAAATGGTTGCAATTATTTCCACAGTATTTTCCTGAAGTGACTCAAAGCTAGCTGTGGTTGAATTGCTAAAGGTTTGAATTTGTAAAAGTGGGCAACAATTGAGTTGTTATGCCCACCCTTATTAATTATTAATAACTTCTCTTTGATTTTGAATCTGAAGGGTTTTCCACAGAAGAACTTCTGATAGGCCTGGCTGAATGGTGAATCATCCCCCACACCGAAGTGGTCTTTCCCAGCTCCAAGGTACTCAGAGGCACCACCAGGACATATAACTGTGGTTGCCTGTGTTGTACTTGGCTTTTAACTTTTTTTTAAAAAAAAGGAACTTTCAATATTGATATCACCATGCTTTAGCTTGCAGGAGCAAAAGATTTTCTTTGAGGAAAAGAGCTTGACATTAAAAAAATAATGTACTCCGCCAAGGTCCCAATCATCTGAATGCACTCACCATTGTTATGGCTTTAAATCTGGCTGCCCACACAGACCAGGACCAAAGTTCAGAAACGCATCTGCGTCGCAGAAGCTGGCCATGGAGTCTCCTCCATCCCCTATTGTTGTCTGTTTTTGCAACACATGTTAGGCACCAAACAAACAAGGATAAAATGGTTTTCTTCTTTCCCGTCTAATTCTCTGCCAGAGACAAAGCCCAGCCAAAGCATCAGATTTCAATGTTCTGACTGCTGAGAAACCCCACTTGCTTGTTCTCGATCTATTACCATTCTTCTTCTCAACCAATATTTTTCTAACCCAGTACAAGGCAATGTAGTCCAATACAATGCAGGGTTATTTTTCCCTACTCCCCTTCCAATTCCTGCTCATTAATACTGTACTCGTGACATAACACCTTATTTCATAGGAATGCCATCAGCTCTAAGGACTATCTAGTCATGGTAATTTGAAGTCCTGAAATTAAAAAATATAGATAGTCCTTGGTCTATGAGTTTTGTTCAATGAATTAATCAAAAAGTCTATTGCTTGCATCTCATAATGCATTTCTCATAGGAATAACTTCAAAAAGTGGTGCTAGAACTTCATTTTGGAAGAAAGCAAGGCCTGAATTAACATACAGCACAGACTCTTACACATCTTTTGCACAACCATTTCTGTCTGTTCCATAATGGGAACTGAGAATCGCATAGGCAGGTTAACTGAGAGTCCAATAAGGAGAGGCTGGCACTCACCCCATGGACGGATGCAGCATTTTCCTGTGGCCCCGCGGCCATGGCTTCTCCTTCAGGAGGATATGGGCCCCATGAGCTGAGGGTAGTGTGGCTGCTGTGGCTCTTCATACTTTCTAAGCACTTGTAAATTGGGTGTTTTGATGTCAGAGACCGTCAAACAATGATTAAAGCGTGCTATGTAAAGACTTGTAATCTAGAAGTAGGTTTGGGACTTTAGGGATTCATTAATATTTTGAACTGAGCACTTATATTATTTTTATATTATTAGAGTAACAGTATCTTTCACTTTTAATTATATCTTAAAAATCTTCAAATTATGCAGAAAAGTAGAATTCCTAATGGAATGAATTTATGTATCTCCCTCACTTCCATTAAAAATCATTCTGGCCTTGATTAATTTGCATCAGCTATTCTTTTTTTTTTTTTCATTTTAATTTCTATTGCCAAATGTTTTGAGGCAAAACCTAGATCTCATGTCATCTATACTTCAGTTATACAACTCTATAAAACAGTTACACTTTCTACACAGTGACCATGCCTTATAACTCCCAATAAAACAGTACTTTTATCATGTAATACTCTGTTTATGATCAATCTCCCACATTGCCTATAAAATGTCTCTTATGTTTAGTTTGTTCAAATCAGTATTTAGAGAAGATTCCCACACAACATTGGTTGTTATGTATCTGAAATACCTCTCCACCTGACTTTTCCCCCATGTCACTGACTTGCCACTAAATTCATGTCAGTGTCATGATTGTCAGCGGCCAGGTTTATTCCTTTAGGTATCATTTAAATTGATTACCCCTTTATTTAAATTACCCCTTTATTACTCATATGTCCTCTAAATGAAATTAACACTGGAGGTGAGTAATTTCCTTCTTTTCTTATTGTTCAAGTAAAATTGTCTCCATTTTCCTGCCATCACTTTCCTACGCCTCCCACCCTCAATCCTTCTCTGCTTTGGCTTTACCCATGGGTCCTTTGGTCCTTTATACATGTTCCTTGATGACCCTTCCCTTTATTTCTCCCCTTGAAATATCATAACAATATATTAATTTTGTCATTGGTAGGCTCTACTAAATCCATTTTGATAGTTATTAAAGAAAAGTAAAATATTCTGTTACTTGTTATGGTCAATGAAAGAAAGAACAATGCAATTGAGATTAAAAAAGTTCCCACACTGCTAAATACGAATTACATAACAAACCATGTCTCTTACACATGGCCTGCTATTCTTGTTTATGACACCTACCTGGTTCCTCCACTCCTCAGAATTTGCAGACTCTGAAACAGAGGGTTCGCATCAAGAAATGTTGCAAGAGAACATGATAGTATTATGTACCAGATTTTGAAGAGTATTTGCTTGTAAAAAAAGGGGGGCCCTTTTGACTTTGACATGTGTCTCTAGGATATACTGGTAGGTGGTGTATCTATAGGTAAGAGACCAGTTAGGATTTTATATGAATTAGCAGGATGGCCCTAATGCAACAGATGATAGCTATGATAGTAAGTATTGATTGCTATGACTGACTAGTGGGTGAAATCAAACCCAGAAAATGAATGTAATTTTCTCTTCTCTATTCACACTCTGCTAACAGGAATCATCAAAGACATAGTTGAAAGGTGAAAAATAAAATGAGAGAAATATGCCTTGGCAATAGTACCATTTTAAATTATTGGAACATTATTATGTAGATATTGCTGTTACTTCCATTTTAAAGGTGACAGAATGGAGTTATAAATGGAGTTTGTTATTTTTTAAATATAGGGGCAATAAATGAAGGATCCAGGAACCAAATTGAGGATTCTAGCTCTTAACCTCACAGTAGACTCTCAGAGTAGTGTTATGAGCTTATTTTTGTCTTTCCGTGAGTAACAGGTGATAGGAAATTTTTTTTATTCTGATGCCAATCCTGAAACTTGCACTATGTCTTAACCTATGTGGCATTTTAATGTGATACTTAAGTATGACATGTACATTTATAATAACTGTGTGGATAAGTAAATATTCCTTTTCTTTCTAACAGGTCATTGATAACCTTGGTCCTTTGGAACTTATTCTTAATACTCCTAGCCATCATAGGGTTCATCATGGTAAGGAAATTTGATTTTCTTTCTTTCCTTTTTCACTTATTTAAAAGTTGAATTTATTTGTTTTGCACCATTTCATCAAAATTACCCAACAGAGTCAGCACACACTGTGCAAATAGACATCACTTCTTCCTTTGAATCTGGACTAGCCTCCTCTCTAAAGCAATGACTGCAAACAAACAAACAAAAAACCCACCACCAACAACTTTTTCATATCTGGCTTTTGGACTTTTCTTTTGGCCTAAATCTCCTCAGCTGTAGTGAAAAAAAAAATGAGTTAAAGAGCTGAGTGGATATTCACTTTATGTTTTGAAGGCCACTCCTTGACCTGATGCTGAGGTCATTCCTATTTCCAGCCAGAGAATGCCTGGTCTTGAAAACTGTGGGGATTTGAGGAAAGCCTAAAAACAACAATTTACTTCCTTGCTTAAACTTTGTGAACAAACTCTACACACAGCACACAGTGTGTGCTGACTCTGTTGGGTAATGCACTGCACTTGCCTGAGAAAGAGAAAATCCCAAGTGGCTGGTGTGTAAAGTTTAAAGATACTGGCTTAAGAAACAATAGAAATGTTCACATTTGTGCACCAAAAGACCTCAACAAGAATGTGCATATCAGCATCACTTGTAACATGGAAAAAATAGACCTAATTTACGTGTTTATAAGCAGTAGAGTAGACACACTGTAGACTGTTCATGTAATAAAGAACTACATCCCAATGACAACACCTAGACTATTGTGACACGCAATAGCATGAGTGAATCTCACAAACATACTGTTGAGAAAAGGAAGCTGATAATAAAAGAATATTATTGTTCTGTTTTTATAAGTTTCCAGAAATCAGACAGCACTGCAGGTCTTCCTCCCCTCGGGCGCAGGTCCCTTTCCCATGGCAGCGAGCAGAGCAGAGGCCCCCGCTCCCCGGGGGAAGAGGAGAGGATGAGGTCGGGCTGCACATGTTCAGTTTCCTCTTCCAAATTCAACAGTCATTCCCCTACCACGAGGGAGTCATTAGTGAGGGGGTGGAGAGGCCACGGATGTTATACTCTTGGGGTTCCCTCCACATAAAAGCGGAGAAGAGCAAGTCCACATTGAAGAAGGAATGTTGGGAGTTTCCTGTTTGACTCCAGAGCACCTTCCCACACCTATTGCTTTATATCAACCTTAGCACTATTAACATTTTAATATTAATTTTAAAGAGACCAGACAGTTCTTTGGGGTCAAGGGAGTAGTCCTGTGTATTATAGCATGTTGGACTCTATGTACTAGATACCAGTATATCCCCTTGCAGTGTGCCTCCCAACAATGTCTTCAGAGATCCCCACATATCCCCAGAGGGTCAAAGTGCCCCCTATCCAGCTGAGAGTCACTGTGTACACCGTGTATGACCGGGGGTGTGCATCAGTGTAGCCAGCTCCACTCTGCTTTTGCACTGGGGGAGGTTTTCCCTGGTAACTTCAGTTTTAAATGCCCATCTCCATCTAGGGAAGGTGTGTAAATAAATGAGGAAGTACAAAGACAATGAGTTTGTCAAAGTAGTGATTTGATAGTCTTTATCCTTATTTATAATCATTGAATACATTTGGCTTTATTATTATTAAAGAAAGTATGCCCAGCTATTTAAATTATAATTTGAATACTTTGTAACAGAAAAAATATTGTATATGTTATGAGTAAATGTAAAAATTGAGGTTAATTTGAATTTCGTTTATGGATTTTATGATTTTAGAAGATAGTAATGTCTCATTCTAAGTGGAAAATTTTCTTCCTGGAAAAGATGCAGGGACATAATGCACTTAAAAATTTAAAACAAACGGACAAACACAAATTGCATATATTATCTATCTTATTTACTAGTGCCATTTTTTTCTGAGCCATTTAATTTTTAATAATTATTTTTGATAGTCCTAAAATTAGAATTGAGAATTATCTAAGATTTTTAAAAACTGGAAAATTATTGGTACATTTTTAAAATCTGAGATAATTCTTAATAGTTTTAAGGAAATCTTTGCTCTTTTTAGTAAAATTAATTAAAAAATAAAATAAAAACTCACTTTACTAGCAAACAACAGCTAGTATTATCAGTGAAAAAACATTCCTAGGAAAATCATTGTTACATAAGTCTTATTTTTCTTAATGTGTTCTAAAATACAAGGAGACAGAGCAAAAAGGAAAAAGGACTCATGGACATGGACAACAGTGTGGTGACTGCTGGGGGGAGGTATAAGGGAAGTAAATGGGAATGAAAAAATACAATACAGATTGAATTAAAAAAATTGAATGATAGAATAAAATACAAGAATAGTTGTTCCAAGAAGTATAACTTTATTCTTAAAAACATTTCAAATCTTTTTCTCATAGGCAGAAACCCTTATTGCATAGACAAAAATTATGCTGGCACCCTTATTATATGGGATAGAATTTTTGGTAAGTAAAAATCACCAGAATTTTGAACAATTAATTAGCTCCTAACTCTGCAAAAGTCAAAAGTTCATATCCTGAATGTTTATCTTCCAGGAACATTTGAGGCAGAAAATAAAAAAGTTGTATATGGTTTGACACATCCCATTAATACATTTGATGCATTCAAGGTGCAGGTAATGTACTTAGTTTGATTCTTTATGAATTGACCATATTCTACCAAAAAATGTTTAAACATTTAAACATTTCTTTTTAAATGTTTAAAAATATTTAAAAGAAAAACAGTTTTAAAAGGTGATAGTAAATGGCAATGCCCTGCAAAATATTTTAACTGTAAAAGAATTTGAAAATAAATCTGGCGCTTACACAAAGACTTGAATCAATTTGGGGAAAATACATTAGAAAACATTTCATTAAAATGTTTAAATATTTCTACAGTCTAGAAGTGAAAAAATGGGTCTTTAGCAAACAATCTTTCTCGGCCTAAATCTGAAATGTATTCATGCATTCAGAAAGAGCAGCAGCAACATGTATAATTAAGGCTGATTCCACAGTAAGAAAAATATTTGCTTCATGTCTGCACGACTCTGGTTAGAAATTCAGCACGAGGCCTTTGCCCCACTCTGCTTGGGCCTCCATGTCAGGAGTGATTACGGACTAGTCGGGTCTGCACACTGTTTCACCTGCGAAGGCTTGTTGCACTGGACCACTTTCCTGTTAGACATGTGGTATTGGTTGTCCACTGGTTTCCATGGTTGGCACTAGAGACATTAGGAATGTCTGTGAAGCTCCAATCTGTCAGCGGCACCCCACCTCAAACACTCCTGGGTTAGGGACTCGTAAATGAGAAAAAGATAAGAATGCTTGAAACACTAAAGGAGCCAGTCAATGCCAGCTCTGTCCCGGGGACTGGGTTTACCACATTCGAGAAGGCAGAAAATTACAGGTTCCTGTTGGGTCTGCTTTCAAACCTACGTCTTCAAATTTTTAAGAAAGTTAAAATAAAATAAATTGATATTTATTTTACTCTGTGTAGGGCATTGCTAATAGCTCAGTGCAAATATTTGACGGAACCATTTCTAAAAACTTTAGAGGTAGTAGTTCTTTTTTAGTTTGGTGGATGAAACTGAGGTTCCCAGGATTTAAATAATTCACCCAATGACACACAGCTTGTCAAGAGCAAATTCAGCCAAGATGGGTTCCAGGAGAAGCCCAAACCTTACATTTTCCTGCCTCTTTACAGAAAAGAACATGGCCCATTGTCTGCCTTTGTCAAGTGAAGGGCGTTTTTATCTCACATTTCAAAAGAAAAATTTGATGATTTCTCTCTTTTTCTCAACCACAGAGCAATTTACTCTCTGTGTCTCTTGGTCTCTCTCTCCATGCCCTCCCCCTGCCCCCCATGCTCTTTCTCTCAAGGATTGTGAAGAACATATCTCTCAGGAGAATGCTAAAGAAATACTTCAGAGTTCTTTCTTAATAATAAACTTTACAGAATTGAAACCAACTTAGAAATAATACATTGAGAGTGTTAAAAGCAGCTCGTGTTGTGACAGAATAAGAGAATGACAAGTGTCCATGAGCTACAGAAATAGATGTGCAGGGTTTGGAGAGAGACAATATTCAGACAATCACAAGTATTTATGAGCTGCTTAGGAGTTTGAGTCAGGTTCAAATCTCCAGGCATCTATTCCTCACATAATTTTTTTTTTGCTGTAGTGATTGTCAGAACTGTGTCTAAAGTTTAGTCTTCTATTACATGCTCACTCACATCATCAGAAATGTCAAATCAGCAAGTTGTGATAACTGAGTTCCAGAACCTACAAAAACATATGTTTACTTTCACTTATAGTCCTGTATATTCAGCTAAATCTCTTACCTTCTCTCAAAAACATAAAAAAGCAACTTAGGAAATTTTTTCCCTTAGTATTTGGCATAAGCAATCCACTTTGCTCTCCATTGAGGTCCAAGAATTTCAGAGCATTGGGTAGCAAATAAGTGAGAAAGTACTCCTGATTTTAAAATGTTACCATATATTTCTCATGGATTGTATCTATTATGATAGCAATAAAATTGCAGTCAGTTTTCACAATAACACTACAGATAGGTATATTAATGTGTTATAAATTTTAAATACATCAACTTGCTATATTCTTCCTATTATTATTATTATTAATATTATTGCAAAACTTCAGGGTAAGTTCCCATCTAACACTTCCTTTTTCATCAAATTTGGTTCACTAAATCCTAAATCGTTCCTTAATTGCTTAAGATTCCTTATTGTAATATTTTAAGCATTTTAGAAAGCCATGTTTTTAATTCTAGCAGTTTGAATTCTTTGAGAGAGAGTTAAAATGCCAGCCCACAAATTCTGATCGAGTAAAACTTCTTTCCACATCAGTGTATTACTACACCTATAATAGAACTCATCTCTAGATTCTGTAGTTCATGTTCAACCTCTAGGATTATTTTTAATCTTGTGATGCATTATGATGACAAGTGTGGCATTTATAGCTAATTATCTTAGTAGCTATATTTGTTGGGTACTTATCATGTATGGCTACTGGGTACTTATCAGGTATGGATGTACTTTTAACTTCAGTACCTGTCAAATGAGTGTTATTTAAAGATTTTGAACTCCTGGTATAAGCCTCACAGGAAACTTTTGACTCAGTCAGCAAACTTTTATATTTTCCTATGCAGAATATAGTCTATTTAATACTCAGAAGTCTACTATCAGAAATAGCTTTCAGTATATTTCCTTAATAAGACGTGTTTACCTATAACTCAATATAGTAAAGGATTATTTTTCAAATATGCGACATATATGCAATATTTGTATGTTACCATGATCAACCTGATACCCATTTAGCAAGACTTTAGAAAAGATGACATTAACTGCCTGGTAAAGTGGTTCAGTTGGTTAGGGTGCCATCCTGTACAACAAAAGTTTGCAGGTTCAATTCCTGGTCAGGGCACATTCCTGAGTTAATGGGTTCGTTCCCCAACTGGGGCACATACAGGAGGCAACCAATTGATATTTCCCTCTTTCATCAATGTTTCTCTCCCTCTCCCTCCCTCCTTTCCTCCACCACTCCCTCCCTTCTTTTCACTTCCATCTAAAATCAAAAAACATATCCTCAGGTGAGGATTAAAAATAAATAAGAAAACATAAAAAAGATGTCATTAGATATGGATATTAAGTATACAGTCTCCTAGTTAATTCCATAGGAAGTAAAGCCTCTTAATTCACTTTTCTACTTGGCTGAGTCTCTAAACAATTTACCTGTTTTTTAATTTTCAAATTATAGTTTTGTGGAGCTCCAGAAATATGGACAAGAATACATTTAAATTTAAAAGTATATAAATTCATAGAATGAATTATAATTTATAATATAGTTACATATTAATTAGCATTAATCAAATTATACATGACTTATATATTTTAAAAATATGTAAATTGCATTAAACAATAAAATGAAATACATGACTTATTGTATTTAATTTTCTGTTAAGGGGTTTTTATTTTGAACTATATTTTTATTCTTCTAGTTCCACCATTTAGTTTACATATGGACTACATTCTGGGCCACACCTGGGTTCTTCAATAAGTTTTCTGTCATATTTAAAGGACCAGGATGGGGTCCTGGTAAACCACGACTTGGACTGAGTGAAGAAATCCCAGAGGTAAGCAGAGTTCATGGGTTTGCTAATGGTGAAGATATCGTCTCATATTTTCAGGTCTACAGCCAGCCTGTTTATAGCGCTGACTTAATACAAATCTGAAAGAAGATGTTCCCTTAGGCAGTCATAGCCTTGTGGGACATAACTTAATGAGTGGACACCACCTAGGGGCCAATCAGAGGGGTGCCTTCACCCAGGCACACATCACGTCTCACCAGGGATCATGGTTCAGGGGACAGAGCTGCAGAGGCTGGGTTTGAGGTCCACCCAAACCCACAGCCGGGGAATTTATGCAGTGCAGAAACTCATGTGGCTCAGTCACAGAATCCTAAAACACTAGAGATGGAGGGAGCCTTACAAATGAATCTACTGTTGATTTTAAAGATAACTATGAACATTAAATTTAGCCAATATTTCAATAAAATAAAATAATATGATTTATATGGGTTTATTTTTATTTTCAAAAAAATCCTGACCTAATAAGGATGTTCTCTCATCCAGTTATGAAAGCTTCTATGTTTAACTCTCCCAGATACTTTCAGTATGTTCAAAGTCAGTTATGTAACAAGAGCAAACTTGATATAGGTGAAAATGCTTTGCTTACTTCGGTTTCAAAAATTTTGATTAACTATGGTCTATTTTATTATTTGTTTCAAGTAATAACCTAAAGTGAATATTTTAAAGTTATATTGTTGCTTGCATCTGCATTAAAAATAGAACCGTAGTGTGTCTGGGAAAATCTGTAGTTTGAGAAAGTGATTTCTAATACAGCAATATTTCTCTAAGGGGCATACAAACCTCCACTGCCCGAAGTCACCTTCCATTTTCTCTGTCGCTCTCCTTTCATGGACAGGGTGGGGCAGAAGCACTTTTAGAGTTGTGAGTATGTGAAACATGGAGTCCGTTCTTGTACGTTTATTTATTAAGTATTGTATTATCTTCCATACAAACAACTATAAACATACTTTTGCCCCACCCTGTATAATCATGGACATAATTTTCTCTTTATATTTTCATATTGCGTATTTTATGTCCATTTTGGTTATGTTATCATCAGTACATATCACTGAATCAATTCTCTCTTTGCTCTATACATGGCAGACCCAATCAGAATCATAATGGCTTTGAAATGAAAAACAAGTCTGATAGCTTTTACATTTTTTCTGTCCAAATAATGAATGTTAGAATCATTTTGGGAAAAAAATAGCAAAACCTTTCATTTTTGCCTATTTTCTTTTTAGTTAGTTTGAATTTCAGTGAGAAGAATAAGCCAGAGAGTGATATAAACAAAAGACTTCTTTCTTGTCTTCCTAGGTCACAGGGAAAGAAATTCCTTACTCATCATCGGCGTCTCATTTACTAAGGATATATACAGTTCTACAGTTTGCTCTGATGCTAGCATTTTATGAAGACACCTTTGCAGATAAAGCTGTAAGTGCTGTCCAGTTTAAATAGTGTGAACACTTGTAATTTTGCTTGATAAAATATCTCACATTAAAACAGATATATGAGCCCTGACTGGTGTGACTCAGGGGATTGACTACCGGCCTGCGGACCAAATGGCCAGTTCAATTCCCAGTCTAGGACACATGCCTGGGTTGCAGGCCAGGTGTCCACTAGGGGGCACGAGAGATAACCACACATTGATGTTTCTCTTCCTCTCTTCCTCCCCGCCTTTCCCTCCCTAAAAATAAATACATAAAATATTTTTTAAAAAGAGAAATGAATTCTAGACTATTGAATGTAAATTAATTGTATCTGAAGTGTTTCAGTATAGAATGCCAAATAATATACTATTGATCTAAATGATAAATAGCAAGTAATTTGTCACAAATAAATTTCCTAACAAATACAAAAAAAAGTACTTTAGAATTAAATGTTTGGGAAAAATACTTTATATTAATTTCAGCGTACCTTCAATTAGAAAATACTCTGATAACTTTGACTTTAGAAAGTTCTAACATAGGGTAGACTTCATTTGTTTTGTTTAAACAGTCAGAATATTCGGAATAGCTAGAACTATGGTCCAGGGTTTAGAGTCAGGATTGTAATTCAGGCACTACCACCTGGGAGGTATTTATTTACTTGTTTAGCCACATAAGAGCACTGCCTACATTTTTTGAGAAAATAAAAATAACACAATGCATGTAAAAATGCATAGTATATTGTAAAATGATAAAAAAATTTAAATACATGTTTTGTTTTCTAAATTTATATTATTTTCTTCCAAAAATGATTTCTAATAGTTCAAAGAGGTACATAAATTATAATGAGGTAACTAGTTTGGAAGTAGGTTAAATTGAATGGAGGGTCACACAAGAATAAAAAATCAGTGTTTTTGACTTTGTTACTAAGAAAACAAGTACTTCATAAAATAATCTCACTAAATCAGGAATTTTGATGCCTCACTTAGTAGCTCTCTTTGAATAAATTAGTTATACTTTAAAGAAGTGGAGGGGGTTCTCTTTAATGGGTGGCCAAAAAGTCTGTATGTTTTTTCCATAAAATAAAAGACATGTTTTTCATTTTCACCAATAACTATTGATTTGGATATTTTGAGTATGTTGGCTATCTCCTGAGTGGTATAACATTGATTGATTATTCTCAATCAATGTCTTGATTTAATCGCCATCAACTTCAACTGGTCTATCCAACCATGGAGCATTGTCCAGGGAGAAATCTCCAGCACAAAACTTCCCAAACCAATTTTGATACATTTGAACATTCACAGCACCTTCTCTATACATTGCACAGATCATTTTCGCATTTCAGTTGCATTTTTACCTTTTTGAAATAGTAAAGTATAGTATGCTGGAAATGTTGCATATTTTTTTCATCTTCAATATTAAAGTGGCTATACAAAAATTCACCAATTTTAGTAACTTTTTTAAAAAGTGCACACTGATATGACAACTGTCACAATACAATCTAACAAAATAATTTTGAATCAAGTTAAAGACAACTAAATGCTAATAGAGCTATTGTATGAAAAAAACAAACAAAAATTTTGGCCAACCTAAAAGTATAAGATGGTGGTTTAGAAATGTGTATTTCTTTTTAAGGTGCACAGAGCAACTGCTATTGTGGATAAAATATACTTTACAAAGCCTGTTTAGATGAATTGCACAGATGAGGTGGCAAAAAAATTGAGGTACTTCTTAGAAACTAAAAATGCGGAGGAAATATAATCCAGTGGGGAAACAGGGCTAATCCTGACGGCTGTCCCAGGGCGCTGGACAGTCTCCGCTGGTCGAGACCTCAAGTGACCAGACAAAGCCAAGAGCCTACATAGGTGAGAATTCAGATAAAGAACTTCAAATAAAACAATTGAAACCAAAAAGAAATGCCTCATTGATGGGATGGGGTAAGGAAGAAAAAGAATAATGGAAAAGAAGCTTGCTTCTAGTTGACTTGGCTTTGAGAAGGTAGACTTTTTTAAAAAGGATTTCCTAAGGATTTTTAACCACAAACCAGCCCTCATTCAGATATGAGTCAAGGATTCACCTGACCATTGATTCATAAGCCTAATACTAAGAACATAGTTTGAAGGGATGCCAGAGGAGGTCTCATGTGTTTAGAAGACCCATGTCCTATTCACGCTTAGAGCCATCCATTAAACCCAGGCCTCACCGTATTCCCACAGACGGTCTTAGTGATTGTGAACTCAGATACAAAGCACAGAATCACACTACAAGAAAGACAACATGATAATGCATTTCTAGAAACAAAAGAACAGCATAATTAAACCCTAACATACAACAGTTCTTGGAAATGAAATCAATTGAAACATAATTAAGTAAATTAAGTACATTTGAAGAAGTTAAGAAACTAAAAATTATGAAAAATCAAGAGATAAGACACAATAAAAATGATGAGGCACACTTAGAAATAATCAAATTAAAGTTCTATGACACAGAAGTACAACAGACACGAGGAGGTCCATGACTTCAATAGCAGTTTAAAGACAAATGAAGAGAGAATTAGTGCATTAAAAGACAGAGGCAAAAAGTGTTCCCATTATCCAGTGCTAAAAGACAATGAGATCAAAATATATGACATAAATAATGCTATGAGAAACTCTAAAAAAAGATATAAGAACCTAGAAAAATATAAATGAATATAAATGTGATTAGTGGGCAATGAATCCAGGCAAGATAAATTTTCTTTTTTAAAGAATAAGTCTCTGCTATTGACAGCTATCAGTCTATTCATGAAAACCCCATAAGTAATAGAATTTTATAAATAATATGTACAGAAAAATAGCTCTCTATGTTTATTTTTAATAATTTTATGATATCCATCCTGTGAAATTATCTAAAAAATAAGTCTCCTTAAATAGGATACTGAGTGCGTTAGGCAGGACTTTTTGGTTAATGTGACAGAAATCCAAGCCAGAGTGAATTTATTAGCTCACAGAGCTGAAGAGTCTGGCATTTCTCTTTTTCAGGCAGTGCTGCATCCAGTGAGTGAAACAGTGCCACCAGGAATCTTCTCTTTCTTTCTTACAGCTATGCTTTTCTCAAAATGCAGATTTTCCTACTGATGTTCAGCCTTTGAGGTAGCAGGGTGGCTATCAGGAGCTCTAGTTTTAAGTACTGCCTCACAAAGCACTCCAGAAGTGGAAGTTTCCAACGGGAGTCTGATGTTAATGCTTGGTTTACCTGGATGTCACTGAACCGAGCAATGCCGTGAAGCCTGGATCACAGACCATTCCGTCTGGGAATGGGAAGACAGGGCCAGCTCCGTGTGATCCTCATCGTTTGAGAGGAGAGAGAGAATGGTTTGGGAGAAAAATTGAGATGACAATAAATAGAAAAAGAAAATAGATTCAAGTAGGCAAAAATAAATGTTAGAGCTACAGAAATCATTCTCATTCATAAATATGTGATTTGAACTTGTTTTCAAAAAATGCTCTTTAAACACTTACAAAATACTGACGTATAAACCATCCTGCAGCATACCAGAATGTCTTGAGAATATAATGGTAGGAAATATACCGACTTACTGTTGGTTCTTTCATACATTTGCTACAACGAATAAAAGCAATTACACAATGTAACCTGTTCCTTTGCCTTTAGTTTCAGAAGAGATGAAATTTGAACCCAAGAATTTATTTCAGGAGCAAAGCTTTCTTAAAAGCAGCATGAACTACATTACTCTTAATAGTGCACAGGTAGCTATCAAACTATCCTAATGTTTAGAATTATCCATTGCTTAACTTAAAGCCTCATAATCATCTCTTTAAGTATTCCATAGTCAACCCATCTCTGACCACTTCATTATGTTAATTTGTTCACCTAAATTATGATTAAAATGTGTATGCATTACAGAGTTTAGATAGTTGAATGAAACCAGAAGAAAAGCAGGATCATCTGCATCCAAATACAGAGGTGGTTGAGAGTACATCAAACACAGTTTATTCTTGTATTATCATTTATCATTTTAATTATTGTATTAATTATTATTAACCTACTTTTACCCACCCCTATATCTAGTGCTCAAGATACCAACCAATGTCGAGTACAATTTAATTTATTGATTTATTTTAGTTGTACTAAATAAAACCCCAAAATCAATTATACTAATGTGTAGAAACAAAAATAGAAATTTACCCATTTTGATTTTGAAATAAAGACCCTTAATATAAGTTCACCAAGAGATTCGAATGTCTAGGCCAGTGTCTAGGCCAGTGTGAGATAAAAATGTAGCCAGACACTATGTATATTAAGATATGTAATGTATAGCATGGTTTTCACAGGATTTTTTCATCTGTAGTCAAAACCATATGAAACTCCTGTCAATATTATTGACAAAGAGAAATACCAACTGTTGAAATCCTTTTGAAACTGAAGTTAGAGTTGGAGACAGCTTCATTCCTGACACAAATACATTTTGAAAAGGTGCATTTGCTTGTTTCCCACACATGTTTTTCTTTGCTAAAAACATGCTGTGCAACTAGGAAAAAAATTGCTTATTTGCACAATTCTATAGTGCCTTTCTAGTCTCCAGGATGTTTCAAGGCATATGAAGACATTAAAATCCAACAGCAATATTTTTTTTCCATATTTGCTGTGGCCAATAATCACACAGAAACGTTGTGGCTGACTTGTAATTGGGTACATGCTGTGGTCCCACAGCCCTTTCTGTTTATGCATATACCAGAGTAGATGAATACTCACTTGTTTTATGTGTTCGAGTTTTGTATAAATAACTTTGGGAGTCAAAAAAGCAATTTGATGGCCACCACAAAGGTGTAAAAGGCACATTCCTTTCTTTCTGAAACATGCAATGAATACATTTAAATATATAATGTTTGGTTTAGTGATATGAACCACAGACTTTTATGTTGATCTTGGTTTAGTAATGCTTGGGAAATCAATTTCTTAGCTGCCAGGGTCCACTTCATGGGGTGATATCATGAATACACATTTGAAATGAAAATATGTTTCCAAAGTGAAATAGTAAAGGCAATGCTATCCTTTTAAATAGCAGACACCCTCAAAGCAGCTTGAATATTTAACAGTCTTATAATAGAATGTGTAACAAAATTACTGAAGATATGCTTTAACCAGATTATTTGATGATATATATCAAGTTAATGAGGCATCTGAGAATATACAATATAAATTTGGAAACAGAGTTTTATAGTTTTCAGTTCCCCTGGATGTTGTACTCTGTAAAATATTATGGGCGCTGAAATTTTGTGACTAATGTTTCATGTTGACTTGACTTATTTTAACAGACCTTTGGAAAAAAATCAATGTATTTAGTTGTACTCTCATAACAGGAAGTGTCACTTGAACAAATTTGATCTAATTTAGATCCTATGTGAAATATCCCAAGTCAATATCCTCTGTATACTGTTTTCTTCCAGTGTAGCCTATTGGGATTTAATTTAATTTCCTCGAGTTTTTAGGTGGTAACTGAAGTAATGTGAAAAAAATGAAATGTGAGCCAAATTGAGCATCAATTATAACTTAAAGCCACAAAATAAATGTAATAAATGTATAATAAAGAAAGAACATTAGCACAAGTTACCTTACCAATAAGCATAGACTGCAGGGATATAGAAAATTGACCATTGTGAGTTACAATGAAAACTATAATTTTTCCACTATATTGAAAAATATTAAAGTAGGAAAGTGAACATTAAAAATTCCATATACATCAAATAGTGAAATATTAATTGCGTAATTAAATGTATTTCTAGTACTATTAATACTATTTCCAAATATGGTCAGTATCATACATGCCCACTGGTTAGAGTTCAGTTGCTTAGAGCGTCATCCCAACACACCAAGTTTGTGGTTCGATACTGGTCATGGTACATACAAGAATCAATCAATGAATACGTAAGTAAGTAGAACAGCAAGTCAATGTCTCTCTCTCCCCCTTCTGCTCTCTCTCTCAAGAATCGATGAATAATAATTTATAAAAAGTTATCTTAAAGCAAACATAATCAACCCTAAAATGCTTACAATTTAAATTATGACCTCATTTTGATTTCTCAAAAGTATATAAAAATTAGATATTTTATTCCAGCTTTGGAAACTCCAAATCTAAATGCAGAGTTCCTGGAAGTCATATTTCCTTATTAAAAGCAATACTCATGAAAAGGAAGTTTATCTATCTGATACTGTCTTTTAATGTCTCCTTTTTCTTTATTTTTGGGAAAAAAACAGAAGGGTATATGTATTTCTACTAGTGCCCCCTGAGTTGCAGCCTAGAAACTTTCTAGGTGTTAAGATGGAGTAATAGTCAGGGTCATGTCATTAATATCTCATTTTCTGGGAATCACTGACCTCTATTGCCTTGTGTCTAATGTCTTGAAAAAAGTTGGTTCAGGTATATTATTGTGTTCTGTTTTTGTTTTTGTTTTCAAGTGGGAGTATACATCAGCTCTTGCTTTTCTGTTGTGTCGGGTGCACATTCATTTTTTAATAGAGTGTAATTATAGCTTAAAATATCATTGTAACATAGGTATTCTCTAAGTATTCGGTTAAAGGTTTTTTTTTCACTTTTACTTCTTACAAAATTTTGTGCAAATGCACAAATTCCATATCAATTCAATGCTTCTGAACTATATAGTCATCATACATTTTAGCTGATATATTTTCACCTTTGAAATATTTATTTTGTTTCCTTCTTGTTTGAATTCTAAAAACCTCATTTAAATCATATTTCCTTTTTAATGCTTCAATAATAACCACCTAGGGAGGTTATTGAAATTTTAGAAAAAGCTTCTAAAATTTTTAGAAATTTTAGAAAAAATTAGTGTAGTCAATACTGACAGAATTTTTAAAGAACAAGACCTCATTTCAAGATAGATTCTTCAGAGCCACATAGAATTACAAATTGCACTGTGATATCACCTAGGGTTCCGTTCCTTTGTCTATGTAGTAATACTGGGAAGCATCTTCAAATATTTAGGTTTCAGCATACCTAACCCAGCAGCTCAAGACATCTGGAAGGCAATGCCCCCCAGGCTTAGGGGTGACGAGGCTGCCCTGCAGGTGTCCCTGCAAACCCAACCTGCTCCCTTCTCAGATGTTGCAAAGGTTTAAGTGTTAGATCATTCTGACCTCATTTTAGGGATGTTTGGGAATCTGAGCATTTTGAATCCAAACAATGACTTTAGTACTCCTTCTCAGGCACCTTTTAGAGAAACTTTTAAAAATAAACCACCTTGTTATAATAGCAAAATCCATACCTTTTTTTCTTCAGCCTTAGAATAAAATCATGGAAAATATTATCAAATCATCTTTGACAATACACAATGTTTTATAAAAAATAACTTTCATATAGACATACATGATTATTTTAGGCTATAGTGTATGGGGCTGATAGTTCTGCTGTGAAATTTAGCAGGTAGGGAGATATGAAAAGTAGCCACGCTGACCACGAAAGTTTTTCCACAGAATGGTAAGAGGGTCATATCCCCTTTCAAGAAGAAAAAGGCTTTCTACTTTACATTTGTGAGCAAAGGTCATCTACTGTTTAAGCAGTACTATGACAAACATGTAATTCTAGAGTTTCTATATGGTTAACGTCACTTTCTGAGTGGTTTTCTCCCCCATCTTCTTAAAGAAAAATGCACACAGGTCAAGTTCTCCAGGCATACATATCTGGATGGGGACTCCTACTTGGGGAAACCTGTGAAAGTTAGGGCTACCCAACTCCTCAGAATTGTAAAGATCACTTTAACGGAGGAAAAAGAATCCCTTGCTTAATAAAGCTTTTTATGATTATGGCCTTCATTTTTTTAATCATAAAGACATATCATACATCCAAAGATTAGATTAAAGTATAATTTCATTTTAGCACTTTAGGTCAGCAATATTTTCCTGAAATACATACCAGCAGTGGATGGTATAACATGTAAATAAACCCAATGAAACATTGTTATTATTTTTGACATGTAAACAAGATGCACAATTAATTTATTTATAATTATGACAAAACTACTATTCCTCTAATTCAAAAGATAATGCCTTTGACACTGCATATAAACATATAGATTTCATTGAATATAAATGTGTGTGAAAGCTCATTCATATATGTGTTTGCACTAATAAGTGCATTCTCCTTTAAATATTTTCTGTATTAAAGACAGCTTTGTGTTTGAAACCACAAAGCATTGGTCATATTAAAAATAGCTAGTGGAATGTGGTATTTATTCACACAGATCTAAGTGATCTCTCCATACATGGGGGCAGAGGGACTTCAAAGAATTATAAAAGTCAAACTTACAGGGAGAATTTTAGAAAAAAACAGCCAGTAAAATACCATTGTGAATTGTCTACTTCATTCTACAAGTGTCCAATAAGATAAATAAATGACATTAGGAAAATCAAAATGTCTTCTTTTTGAAAATGTCAGCCTCTTTGAAAAATGTCAGTGACAAAATAGTGTCATATAAAATGTAATTTGGGCTGTTTTTCATGTCAGCTTTACTTTGAATGCACCTTTGGATAATTTTCCTAAACCAACTGTTGGTCTGTGTATTTGTCTGACAGGCACTGTCACAGTTCACTCTCCTTCTGAGGGTTTGCTTCATTATCCTGACCTTGACCTCCATTGGATTTCTTCTCGATCAAAGGCAAGATGTGGAATTCTTTCACTTTATATAATTTTATAATATAGTATTTTTAAATATATGCAAAACTTTGTTATTCACCCAACATTTGTTATTGAAAAAAATAAATTTGAAACTATAACCTCACACCTTTATTTTAAATAAAACATAGTAGCAGTATATCTGATTTTATATCAAGGGTGCGTGTTAAATCTAAATCTTTTAAATGAAAGTTAGGATTTTCAAGTTTATTTTAAAAATCTATAAATATAATGATTAATTTGGCAAAACCTAGACCGTAACTCTGAATACTTAGTAAAATATAAAACCTATTTTGAGCATTTTTCTTTTGTCATTGCATAGTTAATAATATATCTGAATGTGTGTATAGTTAAAGTTTATGTCCTTTACCCTCACATAGAATTTTATTTAAGGAATCCTCTTTTAAATACTAACCTGGCCAGAAAATACATTGAACAATTTTAAATTACTTTTTTTGGCATCAGGTATATATTCAAATATTATAGTTCAATACTTATCAATTATTAATACTAATACTAATACCAACATTTATATATTATTATGTACCATGGAGTATTATTAATGCTTACAACAATGCTCTGAGATAATAATCACTATAAAGCGCATTTACAGATTAAGATAGTCAGACAGATAGACAGTAAAAGATAGAACAAAACACAAACCCAAGCAATATGACCAAGAATTCACAAATTACAGAGTTTACATATATTGTAACTTTGTAAAAAACTGCAAAAAAGCTTAGTCGTTCTTGAAATCTTATCTTTGTTGTAGTGTTATTGTTTTTCAAGTAGGTAACCAATAATCATTAGTTTCGGTAAATGTTAAATATAACAGCCCGGTAAACGTACATTTAACTTATACTGAATGCATGCCACTTTCCTCAAGGACAGCTAATGGATGTCCGGGAACAGAAAAAGATTTTGGAGTTTCAGCAAGATCCAGGTCCACATGAATCTTTCTAGTTAATGAAACTGTTTATAATATGCATTCTCTATAAACATTTGGTAAAGAATGATGCAGCCAACACATTTCATGTAGTCATGTGTAAACAATGTATAGAATTTTAAACCTGTTTCCTTCAATGCTTTAAAAATGGTGTTTATTTTATCATTCATTTTGTTTGGCTCTATATCCATACTTTTCTACACTAGAAGTAAAGTACATAAATACTAAGCCTTAAAATGAGAAAATGGAAAAATGAGTCTCAAGTCAACCTGAAATAATTACTCACATCCGCTGAATCAGAATCACATATTAAAAATCACAATTCTATTTTTTGTATATACTTAATAGAATTAGCAATCAGCCAATAGCAATTATATAGTTTGCATTTTTTTCTTTAAGTTATAGGTTTTATTGAAGGAACTACATAGGTCCATTAATGATCTTTAATTTTTTTTATTTTGATTGTTGAAGTGACATTGGTTAATAAGATCATCTAGATTTCAAGTGTGCATTTCTGTGATACGTGATCTGTATATTGCATTATCTGCCCACCACCCAAAGTCAAATCATCTTCAGTCACCATATATTTGGCTCCCTTTACTCTTTACTACCCCCTCTACCCCCTCTACCCCCCTTCCCTCTGGTAACCGCCATACTGTTGTCTGTGTCTATGAGTTTCAGTTTTATTCCCATATATTAGGGAAATAATATGGTTCTTAGCTCTTTCTGCCTGACTCATTTCACTTAGCAAAATGTTCTCAGCATTCATCTGTGTTGTTGCAAATGGCAGCATTTCATCTTTTCTTATGGCTGAGTAGTAGTCCCTAGTACTGCATCTTCTTTGTCCTTTCCTCCACCAGAGGGCACTTTGTTGTTTCCATGTCTTGGCCATAATAAATACTACTGCAATAAACGTAAGGATGCACATATCTTTTGAATAAATATTTTTGAGGTTTTTGGGTAGATAACCCAGTAAGAAGAGGGATTTCTGGTTCATATGGTAATGGTAACTCTATTCTTAATTTTATGAAGAACACCCCTACTGTTTTGCATAGTGGCTGTACCAGCCTACATTCCCACCAGCAGTGAATGAGGGTTCCTTTTACTCCACAACCTCACCAATATTTATAACTTTTCTTGTTGATAACAGCCATTCTAACAGGTATGAGGTTGTAACTCATTGTAGTTCTAATTTGCATTTCCCTATTTTCATTTTCTTATGACAATTTATTTTGTCTTTATGGATTCAGATAAAAGACCAAATAAGAAAGCTATTAATTTTACAATTATGTCCAATTATTCTTATTGTATATAATTATTTAAAAGTCTAAATTGCCTTGGGCCTCATTCAGGAACTCAGTGAGATACATTCTGAGAAAGGTGCCATTAGTGATTTTGTGTTTCTGGGAACATCCTGGAGTGTACTTACACAAACCTAGATGGTTTATTCTGTTACTGCATTGTACGTGCTATGCTTTTATAAGACTGGCAGCATAGTAGGTTTGTTTACACCAGCAGACCATAAACATGTGACTAATTAAGTGTATTGTAAGCCCTGATAGTTGATTTTTCCTTTTGTATGGAGAAAGAAAGTTCTTGAGTTCAGCTATTATTGTTGACCCATGCACTTTAGGGCTTGCTGCCTGGAATAAGCACCTTGACCCCTATATCCTGCTAGATAAAGAGCCAAGGAGCCAGCCCTCACTGAGGCTCCTTTGTTTCAGAGATGCTGGTTGATTTGAATAACTGACCATTTGGCTACTTGTTTTCTCTCTTGCCACACTTTAAATTCACCCAAAATGAGTGAGCTCATGAAACCCTGGGCCCCCACCCTGGACCCCAATAAATGTAGAAGAATCCTAGGCCCATGTATGTCTGTCCCTCTCTCCCTTGTTTTCCTCCCTCCTCCATCTCCCCTCTCTCTCCGCCTCCCTCCCTGTCTCTGTGACTCTGCCCATCTACCCCTGTCTCTCTTTGCCCAAGCAAGACCTCCTCCTGTGCCTTGTACTCTCCAGTACCTTTTGTAAGTCAAAGGTTCCTAATGGTTATTGATGAAGGGTGTTGTGCAAAGTAAGAATCTTCAGGGTCCATTCATTGGACCCAATCAGGGTCCATTGATTTTGAAAAGGGAGATATCTGTCAGAAACTTCCCAGGGAAGTGGGCGTCCTCAGGCATTTCTAGCCCACAGCTTTCTATTGATAGACTAATAGTAGCACAGAACAGCACTGCACTGCAACCTTACAAAGGCTAGGGCTCACTAGGCAATAGAAAGTTTCAGCTCCATTATAATTTTATGGAACAACCATCCTGCAAGCTGACTGAGATGTTGTTATTTGGTGCATGACTGCATAAGTTATAGCATCAGTTATATCAAATAACAAAAAAACACAATCCTAAAAAACAAGTACAAAATCTCTTTTAAAACACCATAAAACGAGAAATATTGTGAAAAATATATAAAGAAGTAAGTAAAGGGAGAGACAGCTATATCCATAAATTGGAATGCTCAATGTTGTAAAGATTACAATACTTAGCAAATTGATTTACATGTTCAAGCAATCTGAATTAAAATTGTGAAAGGTTTCTCTCTCTAGCATTTGACAAGCTCTTCCTAAAATATATGTAGATAGCCCCATAAGAGCCAACACAGTCTTTAAAAAATGGCAGCTGTTGCATGACTTGCTATCAAGATTTATTATAAAGCTACAGTAATTAGAAATGTTTTATCAGTGCAAAAATTAGAAGAGAAAACCTAGAAAAAGATTTATGCTTATATTTCAGCTTGATTTGTGATGAAAGCATCCCTGCAGAGCTATGGGAAAAGGTGGCTTTTCAATAAATGGTCTTGGAAAATTTGGATTTCTACACAGGAGTAAGAAAAATAAACTTGACGAATATTTCTCACCATAAAAATTGGTTCTGGGGTCAAGGGCTTATAGATTGAAAAGTGAGAGGAAAACTAGTAGGGGTTCCAGCAGACAGCCTAGTATTGCATCTCTATAACCTTGGAGTGTGTAAAAATATTTTAATAGTATATAACAGTTTCCAATTATAAAGGTAAAATTGATGAATTAGACTGTACTAATATTAACAAAGTCAGTTTTTCAAAAATTCACTCTCATCAAGACAGTAAAAAATAAAACCAAGAGACACTGTTGGCAAATTTTAGAAGTAGCAAATAACTTATATCCCAAAGACTAAAATTGAAAGAATTGATAATACCACCTGTTAGAATCCTCACACACTGAAGAAAGGCATTTATATTATGATAGTTAATTTGAAAAACTGATAATTTTTTAAACATATATTTAGCTTATGTTAACCCACTAACCCAGTATTTCCATCCTTGCTACACACTAAACTACACCTAAAGGCACGTAAGGAAATGTGCAGACAACATTGTTTATAGTAAACAAATATGGCCAGCACTGAGCGTTCTCCACGAGGTGAATGGATGGGATGCATGCACACTGTGCATCCACACGGTGGAATACTACACAGGAGGGAAAAAGGGAAGCCCTGTTCCGTGCAGTGTCACAGATCCATCTCACCAACAACATTGAGTGACTAGGTGCTAGATACAAAACAGTGCATGCAGTATCATCCCCTTTATAAATAGTAAGAAAAAGATAAAACTACAGATCAATTTTTAGAAATGTATGCTAAAGTGGTTAAATATATTTTTTTAAAAAGAGCAAGACAGGGTATGATTACCATTAAGGTTGGGGAATTGATCTTTCTGAGACAGCAGGGTGGGGGAGTGAGAATATTGAGGAGGTAAGAGAAATCTTTTGGGTGCTGATATTGGGAGGTAGTTACATGGTTGCTTATTTGTTGAAAACCACCAAGATGCCTATTTTTGTTTTCTGTACCTCTCCATATGTATGTTTCATTTCATAATATGAAAGTTTGAAAGGTAAAACATGCAAGAGAATTAACAAAAACTCTGTGCTTTAAAATAGGAATCTTATTTTGTTTTTTAATTGAAAATTACCCAGATATTATTTTTTAAATTATTTATTATAAAATATTATTTTGTAAGAGGAAAGCTTTTTAAATTTTTTTCAAAAAAATTAATCATATTACTTGAATGCAAATTATAAACTATCATTCTGTTTCTATTGCATTTTAAAATGTGTACTTTTTTACTAAAATGTTATTATATTCAATTTTACAGAAATAATGAGTCATAATAAATAGTAGAAGAAAGTTTTACATTAAAAATATACTACTTTAAATTTTCTTCACTTTTTCTGTATGTCTATCTTCTAAAATAAATCTACTTATATTATAATGACATTAATTCAAGAATATTTTCATTATAAAATTCACTTGTGTTTTACAAAAAGATTTAATTTTCCAAGTGTTAGATGACTATCGTATGAAGTTATTTTAAGCTGAAGTAGCTCTTTATTGCTATCATTATAAGGCAATCAATAAATGCTTAACTGTGTGTGACATTTAACTCAGTTTCAAATATGTAAAGATATATTTATATATATTCTAGAGGTTATATATATATAGATATATATAGAAAATATTCATAGAAAAATAATTAACAAAGGTCTATATTTATGCTACCTATCAAATTAGACACAACCACACAGATTTTGTATTCTCAGTGTTTCAGAAGTTGACAGCTCATGATTTTAGAGTCCTTGACTATACCAGTCCTCCTAACAAGTCACTTTTTAAGTGAATGAAGTATAAAGATAAAGGCATTGAGTGAGGGAAGTGCCACCTACTTTAAACCCCCAAATTAGGCTGTCTGTTTTATTTATTAGTTGAGAGTATGCTTCACCCTCACTTCATCATGCTCAAACTAAGCAACTCATTTATAAAGGACAGGTTTTCTTTAAAAGATGCATTTTATTTCTTTTGTTGTTTTTTTGTTTGTTTCCGTCTGATACCTCTTTTCAAACAGCTTCAGAGGCACATGTTCCTCAAATATATTAAAAAAATTATGTATTTCTTGAGAAATTACAAGAAATGTGTGTTACTGTATTCATGATCACATGTAAACACACAAAGAGCAGATGCAAAGCTAATGCCTGTTACTGACACTGATTTCAGACCTAAGGCAGCTGCTGTGGAAGCTTCCCGCTGCTTGGTGTTCCTGGCGCTGTGTAGGTTTGGTCACCTGAAGCCTCTCATCCCTTCCCTGTCGTTTGTTTTTGAGGTAAGACACTTGCTTTAGGTGCCTACAGCAGGACTACATATCTATTGCATGTTGAATTCACTCACTCAACAATGTTTTTGTCTATTTTGTGACTAGTCCTTGTGGGGAATTTTTACCTGTCCACCTAGTTACCAAAACTTAATTGTGTCACTTGAGCTAGTTAATAGTGTGGAACCTCTTTTTCTGGTCTCTAAATTGGAATTAATACGGCTGACCTCATACAGTTGTTGGACAGGTTACATTGCAGGATGTTCATAAAGAAATCAGGCCCATGGTTGGTTCTCAGCAAGTAGTAGACGTGATTTACAAAAAGTTCTTGCAAGAGAGTTTGCCATTTGGGATTTTTGTTTTAAGGATTAAAGTGAAAATTGTAAGGTATATTGTCAATTACCTATAATTCTACAGAATTATAATCATATAAGTGGTAATTCTATAGAAATAAAATCATTAGTGTCATTTGGACTTTTCTAAAACTGAAAAAAAATGTTATAATTTGATCTTATGTGATGATTATTATCTTTTAAGAACTACACTGAAAATTTGGGTATATATTTATTGTTTTAGATCTTAAACATCTGTTAAAAAACCTTGAGTTTCATCGCTGTTATATATACTTAAAGAAATTCAGAAATATGTACACATGACCCAAAAAACTATTCAAAATCAAAGAACAGCATTTTCACACTCTAAAGGAGGGAAGCCATTCTAAATGTATCACAAAGTAATTTCACTTAATGAATTTATTTTTGAGTTTATTGTGGGAGTTTACCTAAATGCTCCAAAAGCAAATGGAGAATGTGTTTCTTTAAGTTATTCTTAGTATAAAAATGTGGTAATGTGTGCTTACAGAAACATACAATATTTGGATTTCTTTGATCATGGCATAATGGAAGGCAGTCTAGGGTGTCTGACTTTTGAATATGATGATATCTAGTGGGGGAATGCTGTCCACTTACTTACAGTCAGTAAATTATATAGGTGCAAGTGAATGGGTAAAACTTGAGCTTTGAAACCATAATGCCTAAATTTGATTTCTGACTTAGGAACTTACTGTGTGTGTCCTGGGACAGTTCATTGATCCCTTAAATAGTCTTAGCTTTGCCTTCCTCATCTGTAAACAGATGAGGTAATAATGCCTATCTAACAGATTTTTGAGAATTAAATGATAATAATCTATTTAAAAGATTTAACATGGTGCTTATCACAGAGGACTCAATAACTCTTAGCTTTCGTTATTATTACTTAAAGATCCCTTGGACTAATTCTGTGGCTTGCTTAGGAGTCCAGAAGTCAAGTATGGTGAGTGGGGGGTATGGAGGAGAAAAAATGTTCAACTAAAAGTCAATATTATGAATTCTTCATTTGACACTCACTCTATGACATGGGACTGTGTGCCTCTAGTTGTTTATTTGTAAAATAGGTTTAATGAGAGTTAATACACATTGAGCTTTTACTATGCTCTCAATGCCTTACTTTTACTATTCCATTTAATCATCATATCAACATAACTCATGATGTGGTTACTATTACTATTATTTTTATAATGAGAAACTTGAGTTCCAGACAGGTTCAATAGCATGTTTGGATTAACATAGCTAATAAGTGAACGAGTCAGAATACAGACTCAGGCAGTCTGAGGGCATCGCTCTTAATCATCCAGCAACATTTCCTCCCATGCCGTGAGGGCAACACTCCTCTACCTCAAGAGTTTTGGATGAAAAATACAAATATAATGCAGCAAACACATCTTAAAAATATGAAGAGCTAAAATAAAAAGTCTTATCAACTTAACTACAAAATATTCTGGAAAGTATAATGGTTTGAATAGCTTACCTCTGTATTATCTTTGGTTTACGATTCAAGGAAGGGAAGTACCCCAGGGCAAAAATTTTTCAGGCTGCTGACCGACCCTTTCTGGAACATGCTACTATTCCTGTTCCAGCCCATGGCCAATTATTCAAGACTAGACATTGCCTGTGATTCACCACTAAAACATTTCCTTAAAATGGTGTAAGAATAGTATCTACTTCACATGGTCTTTGGAAAAGTTTAAAAAAGCACAAACAGTAGAACATAAGAAATACTAGATCCATTTTAATTACTCTCATTGTTTATAGTACAATTATCACTGCTATTAATACTATTAAAGTTATTATCAACCATTGGATTTCCATGGTTAATATGGAAACAAGTCTTCTCTGACCAGAAGTTAAAAACCCTGTGCTCAACAGTGGGTGAGCAAGTATCAGCATTTTAACCTGTGAAGCCAACTTTTCTTCTTCTTCTTTTTAATGTTCAACATTTTTTAAGTTACAACCAGTTTTTAATTTTTATTTCTTAATTGTGAAATTCAAATTTGTATTTCCTTCACATTTTTATTTCTTAGAGCTTTATGTAAATCTCCGCCACTTATAATGATTTTCATAAAATTGTTCTTTGCCCTGCACAAGGAGTATAAAAACTTAATCAATGACCTCATTAACTCCATTCAGTGAGAATCAGGGCTAACTGACTGGGAGTAATAATACTACAAGGACGTGATGTTCTCCTCATTTTTCTTTGGAGCTGTCATTAGCATCAATGTCACTGAAACCATTAGTCCCCTTTCTTTTATAAATCAATGTTGTATGTAGTGGCAGCGTCAACCCTGTGACTACTCTATCTGGAAGGCTGGAGGAGTTGTTCTGTGGGTGAAACTTGGACAGGTGGAGCAGACAGTGGAGAACACTTTACAGAAGGGACAATATGGTAGAAAGTCCAGAAGCAGGGTCGACCACAGACTGGTTAAGTGATGAGATGAACTAGTCACAATAGCACAAAGTGTGGGTCCTAAGATGAGATAAATAAAGACTCACTGAAATTAGAACCAACTTGCTCATGATTTTTTGAGGGGTGGTGGGGCACAGGTTTATTCAACACTTACTGAATGCCTGCTCCAGCAAAAACAGAGCAAGGTCAGGCACATTTTTGGTTGACACTCTGTTCAGTTCTCAAAAGGCTGCATTTAAGGTATTGGCCAGACTATGTTCTCATTTGAAGGCTCAACTCTGGAAAAAGCCACTTCCTAGCTCACTCAGGTTGTGGACAGAATTCATTCCCTGCAGCAGCAGGACTTTCGGCCCCAGCTTGTTTTGGGCCCTGGAGGCTGCCTGCAGGTCCCCATCCCGCTTCCTCAACGGGGCTGCTGAGTTCATCAAGCCAGCAAGGAGAGCTTCGGGGAGGTCTCAATCCCTCTTGTAAGTGCTTTTAACTGATTAAGCCAGGCTCATGAAGGATAATCTTGGTTCAGCACATGAAAGTCCACTGACCCCCATTACTGCTCGGAACACATTTTCTACTATCTTCCCCTTGCTTACTCAATTTCAGACATGCACTTTGCTAGGAACTTGTTTAGTACACCTGCTTCTGTGCCTTTGCACTTCATGGTGCCTTTGACTGCTTTTTCCCAGTTATCCACGTGGTTTTTGCTCTCACATCAGGTCTTAACTGAAATGCCACCAGCCTTCCCTTGGTACTGTTTTTATTAATATTATTGTCGTTTTCTAATTTTGCCTTCTTCATACTTAGGGTATTTTTACCATAGTACTTACTGGTATCAAATATATACATGAATATAAATATATATGTATATAAATATTTGACTGACCAGTGATCCGTGCCCCTGCTGTTTATGACTATCAGCCTGTATAACTGGCCTGGAAAATTCTCACCCCTAGAGTGTGGATGAGACCTGTGACTTGTTTCCAGCCAATAGAATATGGCACAGATTCTTCGACACTTATTTCTTTCTTTAGTGACTATCAAAGGAGCACAGACAGCACCTGTTCTCCATACAAAGAATGCTAAATTAAATATCCATTAACTTTTAAATAACAAGTCATGCATATTCAGATGCCCCTTGTTATTTAAATAGTTGGCCAAAATACACACATCAGAAAGTAAAGGAAGGTTTAGCTGTTCTTGGTAGTTTCATGTTTTCATAAATTCTTCCTTCTTTCTTTTTTGGTAAAATTCAGCCTTCTCTGGGGGTTATCTGTGTTTGTATAACAAACCAACACAAAACTTAATGGCTTTAAATAATTACTCATTATTTTTCACAGTTCTGTGTCAATTTTACTGCTGCTCTCACCTGGGCTCACTCTTGGGGCTCTATGCAGCTGAGGGACCAGCTGGGCTGGACAGGGAAACATCAAATAACCCAGGTGACTCAGCCCCTTACAACCCGGATTTGGTGCCCTGCAACTTCTGGCTTTTCCCAAAACTAAAATCCCCTTTGAAAGGAAAGAGATATCAGGCTTTTGATGAGATGCAGGAAAATATGACAGTGCAGCTGATGGTGATTGGGAGAACCGTGTGAGGTCCCAAGGTTGTCATTGTCCTGTGTACAATGCTAATTATATCGTATCTTCTTTAATAAATGTCTCTATGTTTCATATTACATGGCTGAATACCTTCTGGACAGACCCCATATATAATACACAGTGTAGAGACATTTGTCTGAAGCCATCTTACATGATTCATTTAAACCAGGGTGTCAAGTTCATTTTCACTGGGGGCCACATCAGCCTCACAGTTGCCTTCAAAGGGCCTAATGTAATTTTAGGACTGTATGCATGTAAATAATCCTTAACTGTTTGTGAGTTGAAATTACGTTTAGCCCTTTGAAGGCAACCACAAGGTTGATGTGGCCTCCAGTGAAATTGAGTTTGACACCCCTGGTTTAAACCGTACTTCTGGCTACATAATTAATTAATGTAAGGAAGAGGGTGGAGCCAACTTCTTAAGGAACTATATGCTAATCTGCCATAAATGTATTTATGGATCCAGGGGGAAAATAAAACAAACACATGTACACTGACCTCAGAGGAATATTTATAGTATACAGTAGTTTTGACTAATCTAGCTCAATATTATTCACATTTCAAATATATTAATTGCACAATGTTTGTTTATGAGTAGTAGTTACATTAGTTTTAAGTAATGCCTTTCCTCTTATCAAC